AGGAGATCCCTTTCCATCCAGGTCCTGGCTGTCGGACTCCCGTTATTTTAGCCACAAAGAAGCAGGCGCAGGTTTGAACCCGAAACCGCCTGCCCGGGTGTGCGGGGGCTCGGCCTGCAGGCAGCTTGCGTGGGAAGCGGGAGCGGCTGTGGGCAGGAGCCTGCCTGCCTGCTTCCTGCCTGCCTGCAGCCTGCCTTCTCCCCTCTGCCTTTGGGAACAGTGGGATGTAGTTAAAAACGCATGCTTGACTTCTCCAATAGCTGTGGAATTGTTTGAAGAAAGAACGGTTATTGCCTTCCTACAGGCATCCCTTTTTGACCGCAGCCTAGATAGCACGTGCAGCAAGCACCAGTACTTATTATCGAGTGACTGGCCGTTACGCGCTTCTAGTAAGCGTGCTCTTCTAGACAGTAAGCTACCTAGTGTCCGTGCTCATGAGGAGGTTTAAATGCATTCTGACTGCAGTTGGAGTGGTTTTGATAACAAGACTTGGCAATTTTGTTGCAACTGAACTTACAATTAGTTTTTTTTTTTTAATTATGCATGTGTATAAATCGGAGGATGGTGTTCTCTGTTCCAGGCAGAGGTTGGATTGAGGTAACTTAGTCCATTTGGCTACAACTGCCCCAGAAAGAGGGATTCCAAACAGGGTGAAGTCACATCCCATGGTATTTCCTGCTGCTTGTAATACCTGCACGTGCACTTGTGCCCCTAACCCACAAATTCAGGCACCTTCATCTCAGTCAGATGGGTTTAGATATGCAGAATCAATAGTGACAGTAAGTAGATAGAAGAGATACATTAACGACATCCGGATTTGTGCAGAAAAAGTCTGGGGGACGTAGGGAAAGCTAGTGAAATTGCTATTTCTCCTTGTGGTAAAAAGTGAGCTTCTCCTGGACAGTGAGTGAAGTGTGTCAGATGAAACCTTTCTTGTTCTGCAGTGGGTGGAAGGGCACCGGAGCTAAATCCTCTTACGAGGAGCTGTGCCTGCGTGGAAGGCGGCTTCAGGCTGGGTGTGGGGGGAGCACCGGAGGCTGCGGGCATGGCAGCTGGCTAACGCTCTCCAAGGGTAGGACTTGCTCGCTTTTAGTTGGACTTCCCACGACTGAAGGAGCTGAGTCTTTCAGTGCATCCCCATCAGGAGCGCCTAGTGTGGAGGGATAGAGAAACCGAAAGCAGCCTTGGGTGATGGCGGTTGTTCGCTCGTGCTGAACAGCCGCTGCTGGCGCCTGACGATACGGTGACAAGATAAGAGATATCTGTGCATGGCTTCTCTGGAGCTGTTTTCCTTCCCCCTGTGCCTGAGAAGCAGGGCTGGGTTGCACGTAGTCTCGCGGGGAGGCGGGCAGGTGGGCGAGACGGCAGAACTCTTCTTACCCCTGCCCAGAACTGGCACGGTGGGCAGGCTGGAAAAGGGACGATTCCTCAGCAAAACTGCTTTCTTGGCCTTCAGAGACACTTCCAGTATGAAGGAAAAGAACTAGGGGCCCCTCGGGAGCAAGTACATCCATCACCCGTGCGCCCCGGCTGTGGTGGCGTGCCGGGGCACCCGTGCGGTCACCTTGCGGCGGGGGGGGGCACGCGCAGGTTCCTGGTGTCCTGGCTGGAGCCAGAGGTTCTGCTGGAGGAGCTGCAGGGGCTGTAACTGACCACGGCTGCCCTCGCTGTCCGTCTGTGAGAGCTCCCGGTCCAGGGAGCGCGGCTGCGGCGTGAGGTGCGGGGTGCCCTGCTGAAGGTCCCTGAGGTGGGGACCCTTGTGAGCGCTGGCAGGGAGAGGAGGGAGCCTGTGAGCTCCCTCTGTGCCGCCGGGTCCCAAGCCCAGAACCGGGTGGGAAGGACTTAAACCACAAAGTCAGCACACCTGGCTGCGTTTCTTCCAATGCCCGGCACCCCGTGGTATGGCTGTGCAGAGCGCGGCTGTCCCCGCTGCTGTTGGGTGCCAGCGTAGGAGCCGTCCTGCCGCACCGGCGTGCCGCAGCAGGATTTTCGTCTGCCCCTGGCCGGCCGTGGCCCTCCCTGACAGAGCCGATACCTGGCCACGTGGAAGCCGCTGCCGTCGAAAACAAATCTTAAGCTGCCTTGCTGTTCAGCGTGGCAGTTTGTGTGATCCCTCGGACAAGGCAGGTGGTGTATTTTCTCTCAGACCGCTGGTGCTACGGCACCTTTGGACTGAAGAGCTGCTGAGCTGGTGCCCTGGTACAGGGTGACGACGGAGTCTGGGTGAGGAGTCCCTGCCCCGGGGGGCTCATCCTGATCATCTGGGGCTTTTTCCTTGTATTTTTGTAGCAAGTCTAAAACGGCAGGATCCCAGCCCAAAAGGCTTCTGGTTAAAACGGCTCAACAGCCGCTGCGCTTCTCCGAAGCCCTTGTCATGAGCTGCCCCCGCGGTGCAGGCGTGCGCCCTGGCGTCCCCACCGGGCAGAGCGGGAGGGCTGCCGAGGGCCCGCGGCTGCTCCCAGTGCCGTGGCGGTTTGGGCTAGCCTTAGTCCAGGGCCGTGCGACGGCAGCGGGGCACAGGTACCGGAGCACGGGCACGCTCGTTTCTTGCCTGGCTGCGCTCCCCAGGGAGGGCATCGACCCGCACGCTGCCATGGGGCCGGGGTCTGCGGGAGCGTGTTCCTGCGGCCAGGTGGGCCGTTTCAAACCTAGCGGGGTTACGACTTGCTCGTACGTTAACTTTACGAGCGTAAATCATCCCATGAAGTTAACCTTTGAGTGCTTCGCTTCCGCCAAGTGAGAAGCTTCGTGCCACGCCGGATCCTCGGGAAGGAGGTGGATTTGGTGGACCTGCCTGCTCGGAGCCAGGCTGTGGAGAGCAGACAGGATCCGGGCTTGCCTGCAGGAGCAGAGGGAGCTGGGCTTGCATCCATGCGGGGAACAGAAAACTTGTACAGTTTTCTGGTGTGACCAAATTGTACAATCTCATTGCACAAAACAACCAAAATTTATAGCCAAAGCTTCGGAAATGATATCACTTTCAATTGTTTTATGAATGATGCTGACATCTTTGGCTGTACAAACTGTACTTGTGTTCTCGGTTATCATTTGAAAGACACCTACATTCTCAGTCGTGTCTGTTTAAAAAAAAAAAACTCTTGGAACAAAAACACTGTGTTCCAAATTATGTGGTTTCAACAGCTTAATCCTCTTGACTCACTAGCATTCGAACTAGGAGCTTCCCAGTTAAACCAAACTGTCGTCTCAACAGCAAGTTCTTGCACTCTTATTCTTTGAATAATAGGAAAGGACTTTTCAGAGTCCAGATAACTCAGTGGTTCTTTTTGTTTCAGAGAAGGGTAGTGACTTGGTACTGGAATCAGATTAATTTCTGCTTGCTTAGTTTATGCAGGCTTTATTTTTAAACTTGGTGGGAGTCTTCATGGAAATCAGGTGAGAGAGAGAGCCAGTCTGTAGTTGTCTGAGAAAAGGATAATGAAGCCAGTGAATTAGATCCATATTAAATGGGATCCGTGTTCCCCATTCTCCTCTGATCTGCTTAAAAAGCCCTGCCCTTTTTTGTCTCCAATCTCGGATGGTTCATGGCCTTTGGTAACGCTGCTTTCTGCTGGTGCTCCTGGGAAGGAGACACCTCTTTGCCTGTGCCTGCTGAGGGGAAGGGACATTTTTAGGGTCCTTCCCGCAGCAAAGCAATGCAGCCCGAGGGCAGAGCTGGGGATGGTGCTGGGAGCCAGGGTGCCTGGGTGGAAGGAGGAGGCTCCTCTCCATCGGCAAACCCACGGCGGTGACTTTGTGCTTCTCTTGACGAGGGGATGTGTGGCTGAGTGGGTGCCTTCAGCTTCTCTTCGGTGCCCTTCTGCATAGTGGTTGCCAAAGTCCTTCTCCCTGTAACACCACTAAGAAATTCCTCCCTTGCTAGTGGTTGGAAGGAGAGTGATGGCTAGCGAGGAGGAGAATGGGAAACGTAGCATCCTAAACTAAAACTAGTGTTTGGTCTGTAACTGTTCTCCATCTCTTTGTGGCTTCTTAGTGGCTCACCTATACAGCATTTTGTTCTTGTTAAAAAAGCTGTAACAATTCATTGATGGTGTACTCTCTACAGAAGTATCTCTGGAAAGCCAAGACAGTGACCATTGCCGGTTCTGAGTCACTGTTTCAGGGCAAATATTTGTCCAAGTGCTGTGTTAGCATAATATTTCTAATGTCAGGCCAAGGGCATAAATTCTGGTGCAGAAATCCAGAGATGTGAATCGCAGTTGTGAGTTTCAGCGTTTCAGAGGATTTGCTTTTGCTGATACACATGCAAGATATTGTATCCAGACTTTGGTAGCCTGTAATGAGACTTGGCATTGAACAATAGTACATCATGATTCTTAATCTTGCTATTCTGAAGTAGTAGTGTATTCCTTATTATAACAAAGTCATATATGGAAGAGACTGGGGGCAGAGGAACAGAGCTGTGTACTGGTGTACCTGTGGCTTGAAAGCGCAAGTAATCCATCCCAGTCAAGATGCTCAGATTTTGAAAGAGAAGCTGAAAAATCGGCTGTGCAAGTACTGTGTGAAGAAAGGAAGTTTAATAGCTCCCAGAAGGCTTGCATAATCTGTATCACAGCGCTCCTCGTGGCTTTACCAGCCTGCTGATAAAATAAACTGCTTTGCGTGATAAAACTTAAAACTTCTTAGAGCAAAACATTTTGCAAGAGTTCATGGAAATAGAGATTTTGATCTCGGTGCCTTTTCTGGTGGAAGAGTAGGACACCTTTCCTAAATTTTGAAATGCTATTATTTTTTTCAGTGGCAGAATTGGCTGCCTTGTCTTAAAAGTCAAGGGAAAATGTTGCGTTCTTAGTATATTGAAGTTGTGGGAGCGGTTGGCTTTTTTTTTTTTGGTTGTGTTTTTTTTTGTTGTTTGTTTTTTTTTTTTTTTAAAGAAACTAGCATGTTTGTTATGCATAGTTTTCCCAGAGAAGCACCTTTCAAACATCCTGACTCTTTGTCTCTTTCCCTCCCTGTCCTTCTCACCCCATTTTAGGTCCGGATTGTTTTGTCTCCCATCCTCCTTTCCCAAGCATGAGGACCCTCCCGCTGACACTTGCGCTAACGGAGTTGCTGATGGCGGAGATGCCATGCAGGGCGAGACAGAGACGCAGCCTGCTGGTGAAAAGCCTCCCAAAGGAAATGGTGATGAGCAAGTACCCCCCCTCCTGCCTCCCCCACCGCCTGGCAGCCTTCCTCCTTACCCCCCCTACTTCGAGGGAGCTCCCTTTCCCCGTCCGCTATGGCTACGGCACACGTACAACCAGTGGGTTCCTCAGCCACCGCCACGGACTATAAAGAGGACGAGGAGGCGTTTATCACGGAATAGAGACCCAGGAAGGCTTATCATGAGCACTATCAGGCTACGGCCAAGACAGGTGCTCTGTGAGAAGTGTAAAAACACTCTGAACCCCGAGGATGCAAACACAGCTAGGCAGAACGCTAAAACCAGGAGGAAGCTGAGCATTCAGGACAAAGAGCAGAAAAAGCACAGTGAGTCCGACTACATGGAGAAAAGGAACAAAAGAGAAAAGAGAGAGGATGACAAGTTTTCTGGGGAACTAGTACATCGAACGCCAGTTATAAAAATATCCTACAGTACTCCACAAGGGAAAGGCGAAGTTGTAAAAATCCCTTCCCGGGTTCATGGCTCAGTCAAACCATTTTGTCCAGAGCGAATATTGCAGAACGGAGGAGAGGACCAAGAGGAGACCAGAGACTCTGAACGGTGTCGAGAAACCAAATGTTTAATGGACAAGTCAGCAGGCAGCCAGCTTGCTTCCATTCCAAAACTGAAGCTTACGCGGCCGGTGCATTCCAGTGCGGATGTCCCACCCCCAAAGATACGGCTGAAGCCCCATCGCATAAATGATGGTCAGAGTGTTTCAATTTATAAGGCAGAACTTATTGACGAAATAAATGTCCTTCAGAGCAGCAGGGAGTCCAATCCTGGCGCATTTTACAATGATGAATCCACAGACAGAAGTTTAGCTGAGATATCTTCAGGGAGTTCAGGTGAAGATGATGACTTCAAAAGATTTCCCCAGGGTAAAGATGGGCATGATAACTTGGCTTTCCTTATGAATTATCGTAAAAGAAAAGCCGATTCTTCTAGTTTATCGGTGTGTAGTAATGACAGTCTAGACGAATCCAAGTCTTCTAGTTCAGAAGTAACATCACCAGAAATGTGTGACTTTTTGCCTGGTGATGATGCATCCGTCTCTTCATCTTCAAAAGATGAGCGTAAAATTGTGCCACCACTAACAGTTAGACTGCATACCCAAAGTGTGTCTAAATGTGTCACAGAAGATGGAAGAACTGTTTCAGTGGGGGATATTGTTTGGGGTAAAATTCATGGTTTTCCATGGTGGCCAGCACGTGTTCTTGACATAAACCTTAGTCAGAAGGAAAACGGAGAACCTTCGTGGCGAGAAGCTAAAGTATCATGGTTTGGTTCTCCAACGACTTCATTCTTATCTGTTTCAAAACTCTCTCCTTTCTCTGAATTTTTCAAACTGAGATTTAATCGCAAGAAGAAAGGGATGTATCGGAAAGCTATCACAGAAGCTGCAAAGGCAGTAGAGCATCTGACTCCAGAAATAAGAGATCTCTTAACACAGTTTGAGACATAACTTTGCCTCCAGTATCAGGTGAGTGCTTGCTGGACTAATGCTTCCTATGAAAAACCTCCTTGTGTTTTTTAATCTACGTTCCACTGTTTGTTTGCATTTGTTTTCCCATAAAAACTGAGGTTGGCAATTGTTAAACCTAAGTGCTTGGCTCTTAGTTGGTGGTGGTAATTTCAGAGGTGAGAAGAACCTTTAGTTCCAAACCTTTGGGGGGACCATGGGAATTGGAGCCCCTACTCCCAGAGGGGAGTACAAAGCAGCTGACATCGTGAGGAAGCAAGCATCACTTGTTCAAAAAGCTAATAAAATGGTAGTCATGTGTTAGCACTGTTTACAGCTAGGATGTGGCAAGTATTGAGGATACTTCATTTGCGTCAAAACTCATCCTGTGTGGCTGGAGGGCTAATAGGTCTGAGACTTTACGTTTCTTTGAAATATCTTTTGGTTCAAAGAACTTAAACCTTTCTTGGAATTGAGATTATATTTATCATACCTAGGTACCGATGCCCAGCAGTTACCCATAACAATAAAGGGCCCTTGGAGGCCCTTTGCTCCCCTACGGTTTCTCCGACCCCTCTGGTATGGATTTCTTATGAAGGCACTTTCTTTATGGCTCTTCAAAATGATTGTACTAAAAGCTGTCTTTAACTGGGAAACAGTATTTCAATATTTCTCACAGCACTTGAGGTTTGGCTTGTGTCTGAAATGTCAGTGCATTGCTGGGGAATGGCCTGGATCATCAAATTAAATTATTTTGGGCTTCGCCTGCAACCTCTTGGTTTGAGGACATAAGGTGGGAACATAAATGTGGGAACTGATTCTTTGTAATGCCTCCACATTTTGCTTTTACTGGAGGGGGATAGTACTCCCTTTCTCACCAAACAGCCAAAACCTTGCCCAGGATCAAAATTTGGTACCTAAAAATACAGGATGCGGTGTGATTGGGATTAGAAATACCATCTGTAATTCCAGTTGATGCTGCCTACTACACTGCCCTCAGTGAAGTCCATGGGAAAAAATCCAGCAACTTGAATAAGATCTAGAATCATTTCACAACCTTCCAGTCGTCACTATCTGGACAAGACCTCATCTGTGATACTGTTAAACAAGGGGAGGGATTAACTTTTTGTCTGAAAACCATGACTAATCATGAGGAAGAGTCTTGTCAAAGCTTTTGCTTTATACAGTGTGGTTCATTATGTTGTCCCTTAAATTTTTCTGCTCTTTTTCATGCTAGAAGGACTGTGTGTATGCAGGCCAGTACTACTCCTGCTGTAGACTGTCTATTCTTCTCTAAGATACTGTAATGCAGTGGGACTACGATGGTCAGTGGTCATGTAATCCTGAGGGGGGAAGAAGGATATTTTTATTTTTTTTCGTACCCTCTGTCATGCTTGAGCGTGATGAAGGACTTGCTTTGCTTGAGTTATTCCATCTCAGCAAGCCTGGCTGCAGTAAATAATCAGAGCGTGGCATATTCATCCTGTGTGCTCAAGGTGTCTGGATGACTGGATGCTCGAGCAAGTAAAGATGTATAACTGCAGCAGCAGCATTTAAGCTTCATCCTTGATCTTGCCCCTTCAAATGCTGCTCAACTCTGGCTGAAGACTTTATTATATCAAGAGCGTTTGGATTGGACCCAAATTCCTATTAGCTAGATCTGGAGTATAAATAAACCTGATGCCCAGAATACACTGTCCTCGCCAGTGAAAGAACTATGGTCAAAATCCATCGCTCCTGTACGAATAGTGCTCTCTTTAAAGGAGCAGGAAAGCTTCATCCTTCTTCTGAACTGTCTTCACTGTGTTTGTATGTGCAGTTTCGGACAGCTTTAGCAGAATGTATGTCATCACCATTACTGGCAGCTCTTGTTGCTGTTATGGCATACCAGCCCACCCAGAGCTCACATCTGGTGGCTTCTGGGCAGGAGAAGGGGCAGGGTGAAGAAGCACCTAATGCTTCAGATCAGTCAGACTGGCCATGCCAGTCAGTCCATGTGGAGTAGGAAAGCGTGTGGCCAAGAGGAGCTCAAAGTCCAGACCTGGAAGTCAAAATGGGAGGATGTTTGCCCAATGACACGTTAGCCTAAGGAAAATGCTGCCTGTTCTTACCAGCAGGACCACTGCAGGTGTGGCGCAAGTGGTAAGACCTGGCCACAAGATGCAGGGTGAAAGGCTGTAGGGCAAGGCATCAAGAAGGAAAAGCAGCACTTGCTCCAGAGGAGACCTGGGTTATTGCAGTCACGGTGGGTATCTGAGCTGTAGGTATGGAGCAGAAGGGGTGGAGCGGGTCTGTAAACTGGGGGAAAGAAGAACATGTTGAGAATGATGAGAAGAAAATGATGGGATGGGATGGATTACACCAGACCCTTCCCTCCCTCTGTATTCTTTGGCCAAACCGCTGTGTGTATATATGGGTATATAGATATATTTAACGCATATAGCCATTTCATTGGCCTCCTTCAGCCGGCTTTCCACAGATGATTTTCTATCTTACATGTGTCTTAAGGTGAGCTGCCAACACCATCTGCCAGTCTGGAGATGACATGATAGTTGGATGAACAACTGCAGTTGCTCAAAACTAGAAAAGCAGAACAAAACAACTTCCAATGTTCTGCATGTCACGTTTACTTAGATTCCTGATTAGACCAGCATGTGTAGTGTTTTGATACATCACTTCTAAAACAACTCCTTATTTCGGAGACTTGCCCTGCACCTAATTCTCTCTGTTCAGGAGGACTGCATTTTATTGTTTTCCTTGAATTTCCCTAAAGTAGAACTGAAATGTTTCCATCAGTTGCTCATCAACTGTTCTTTCCTGAAGGGCATCACTTAAGTTTTCACTAATGTCTGCAATTCCTGAGTCTTAGGACCACAATGACGCTTGAGCTACAGTGAAATATCTGAAAGCTTTGAGGCCTTTTCAAGGCGGTACAACGTGGTATCTGTTGAAGTAGTTTCTAAGAGCAGGCATCTGACTGGTTACATTGCATGTTGCCGCTGTACAATCCGTCGTGCTGACGCTTCACCATCAGCTGCACGGGGGCTTGTTATCGTTAGCACCGAACAAGAACAAGAGTCCAGGAGGTGCCTTCAGCAGCAGCATTTAGCTAACGTCGCTTGTGCTAATCCTGGGCACAGCAGAAGTGTGTGACTGTTGACACTTTCTGCTGTGAAACTTCCCGTCTTCTGGCATGTGATGCTGTTCTGCAAAGCATGGAGGGTAATTACTGGAAAAAACATACAAACAATTCAGGTAATTTGTGGATGCATATGAAACTGGAAGCAATTGGATTTTTTTTTTTAAACTTGGTTTGGGTTGGAAAAGCTGGTATGATCACTTTATGTTTTTTATATTTTGTCCTTGTACTTTTTTTTGCAAAGAATATACTTTATTAAAACCCTGTCATTAACTGACTAGTAAAACAAGGTTTCTGGGAAAACAACAGGCAGACTAGCAGCCCTTAGAACTCAAATTTGTAAGACACTCTGGGTTTAGAGTAGTGCCGGGAGAAAAGTGCCTACTCAGCACCTTCTCACGCTGCTTTGTAGCTTCTGCTTGTGTGTCACGTACAGAGAGCCGCTGTGCACGCTGCCCGTGCCGCGGAGATGTCTGCGCCGTAGCTGGGCGCTCGGCGAGTTATTCCTACCTGGTTTTAAAGCACCAGGCGCTGGCTCACCACCGCTCGTCGTGCTTTTGTGACCGCAGACCTCTGTTGGCAGCAGGCGGCTGTGACCAGACCCAAGGCCCCGGTAGCGCCAGGGTGACGGACGGTGTTACTTCCCCGCCGACCCTGACCGGCTGGTAGGCCGGGTCCCCGTGCTGTCTCGGCAGCCTGATCCGGCACGGTGGGAGCCGGGACGCGGCCCGATCCCTCGCCGTGGCTGCCTTCAGCGCGAAGTGCGAGGAAGGCAGTCGCCCCTAACCCAGAGCGAAGGACGTTTGCCTTTCTCTTAAGGAAGGCCCGTCCGAGGGCCGGCACGCCGGAGCAGCGCTCGCTGGGGCTGCGCCGTCGCGTGTGCTGCTCCTTGGGATCGCTGCGGCCGCTCGCCACCCTCCCCTGCTGCCCGTGGCTGAGAGCTGAAGAGGGGTCCTGGCGCGGCAGAGACGCGGCCGGGGGGCACGGCTCGGCACGCTGCCGCGCGTGCCAGGAGAGGGCCAGAAGAAGCTGAGCCTGATGTTCGGGGAGTCGCAACGGTGTCGCCGGGGATGGACATCTCCAAGCCGTTTGGGTGGACATCACCAAGCCCGGGGCGGTGCTGAGCTCCCGGTGGGAAGCGGTGGCTGCCCGCGCAGCTGAGCTCCCGATGGGCGAGGGGCAGCCCTCCCTCCCCTCCGTCCTCGGGGAGGTGGCTTTGCCTCCCCCGCGTTCCTGCGGCTTCCCCCCCCGCTTCCCTGTGTAACCGCCTGTGAGGCTGCGCTGCGGGCCTGGTTGGGTGCTCGTCATCCGTCACCCATTTTGGCTGCAGGACTCTTGTCTCCGGAGTTGTTTCAGACGGTCAGAAAGTCTTCTGAGAAATGGAGGTGTTGCCCGTGGCGTGCCGAGCATGTGTGTCTCAGCAGGGTCGGTAGGTCCCTGCGTGGGACCTGTGCCGAGAGCCAGTCCTGCGGGCTTTGGCACTCTGGCCTCGACTTTTTTCTTGGGAATAAGAAAATCTCTTGTGCTTTTGCATTTTGCTTGCTGTTGACTTCCATGATAACGTCATATTTAAACTTGCAGCTGCACAAACTTCAGATTCCTCGAGCCAAAGGACTGTTCTTCCCTTGTCTTTCACAGTGATGAGCACCCCAGCTGATTTCTGGTTTTATAACAGCGGGTTTGCTAGCATACCCAGGGCGTTGTGTTCAGCCACCAGAGAGAAATGCGACCGAAGGGCGTGCGATGCAGTGTGCTGAGCACGCTTCTGGTCTGGAGGGGACCCCCCCGCACGGGGCAGGAACGGATCCTTCGGGGCTGGTGTCACACACGGGGCCTTGGGGACAAGCCGCGGCTCCGGCTCTGCCGCAGGCTGGGGCACGGG